TGCACAAAATGGGCAAATCGAAGATGCATTTCATCTTTTCCGTGAGCTAATCGTGTCCGGTTTCGAGGTCGATTCGTTCACGATCTCGTCCATTTTACGAGCCGTAAACGGGCCCGAAACCGGGATCCAGTTACACGGACGGATCGTAAAACTCGGGCTTGAATCCGATACATCAATCGGGAGTTCATTGGTCACGATGTACTCAAAATTCGGGAATCTTGAAGATTGTTGTAAGTCATTTGAACAGATTGATAACCCGGATGTGATCACTTGGACTGCGATGATCAATGGGTATGCTCAAAATGGAGACGGGTTAGCCGCGTTGAAAGTGTATGAACTCATGGTCGAGTCAGGGATCAAACCGGATTCGGTGACTTTTGTGGGTGTGTTGAGTGCGTGTAACCATGGTGGTTTGGTGGAAGAGGGGTATTGTTATTTGGAGTCGATGGTTAAAGATTATGGGATTGAACCGGGTTTGAGACATTATGCATGTATGGTGGATGTTTTGGGCCGGGCTGGGAGATTGGAAGAAGCGGTTGGGTTTATTGGGAAGATGCCGGTTGAACCGGATGGGTTAGTGTGGGGTACGTTGCTTGCTGCATGTAAAGTGCATGGGGATGTTGAGATTGGGAGAATGGCGGCTGAGAAGTTTATTGAGTTGGCGCCGTTGTCAGATGGAGGGTATGTGGGGTTGTCCAATATTTGGGCTGAATTGGGGAATTGGGAAGAAGTTTTAAAGATTAGAAATGAGATGAAAGGGACTGGGATAAAGAAACAGCCAGGATGGAGTTATGTATGAGACTTAGGATTGTGTCTTTTTTTGGGTCTGGTTAGAGGCTAGGTGTAACTCAGAAGTCTCGGTCCTGACTTCTCTAATTGTCTCTTACTTGGTCAGATTGAGGGCTAGACCTTGATTCAATCAACAATTATCAAAGAGCCCCGTACATATAAAAAAGTAATTGCAAAATAATTGAACTAAAGTTAAAAAAACACTTGTGGATTACTGATTCAATGTTTTATTAATTGAAAGTTTTTTCTTTGAAAGTTTTTTATCTCTTACACCATCATACAAAAGTTCATATGCATAATAAGTAATATGACTCTTCCTTAACAAATCTTCCACAACAATCTTCGGAGCTGCAATCACCTTTTTATCTGCTTCAAATATGGTGTTTACAGTCTCAGGGACTACTTCCTTCTGCACCATCAGGTAAACGACACCTACTGCTTCACGCACTCTATGCTTCACACAAAGACAATTTATCACCTGCCCAAATGTAGCAACCGATGGTATGAACCCATGGTCAATCTCATCAAGAAGAAACTTGTAACCATGGTCAACGTCTCCTATTCTGCAAAACCCATCAATCATGCAACGAAAAGTGAAGTTATCTGGTTCAGGCATTTCATCGAACAGCTTCCGTGCGTCATCCATCTTCATCTTCTCACTGAAAGCTTTTATCATGATATTGAATATGGGAGTTGTGTGTGAGAGATTACATTGACGGAAGAGCTCATAGGCTCGTTCAAGATCTCCATTCTCACAAAACCCGCTAATCAATGTGCCATAGCTAATTTCATCCGGATTTACTCCAGTTTTCTCCATTTCCTGAAAAGCTTCCATGGCTTTATCCAGTTTGCTAGCTTTACAAAGGCTTTCGATCAATGTGTTGTAAGAAATTACATCAGGAACAAAACCATTGTTTTTCATTTCTTGAAAAGTTCCAATCACATCTTCAGATTTCATATTCTTGCAAAGGCCATTTAACAGAGTGTTGTATGTGATAGCATCAGGTGTCACATGATCCCACATTTTATCCACCATTTCAATGGCAATACTCATCTTCGACTGCTTACAATAACCATCAATCAAAGTGTTAAATGTGTATATATCAGGAATAAAACCTTTTCCCAAAGAATCATTCATGAATCTATCAGCATCCAATACACAACCCATCTTGCAAAGCCCATCAATCAACAAATTATAACTCCATGTATCAGGATAACACCCGTTTTTTGACATTTCTTCCATCAACTCCAATGCCTGCAAAATTAGACCCTGTTTAGCCAAACCTTTAATCAATGTGTTATACATAATAGTAATTGGTTTCACACCCTTTCTCAAACAATCTCTAAAAACCGCCATGGCTCGATCCACATCACCATCTTGGCAATATCCATATATTAAAGAGGTATAAGTAAACTTATCAGGCTTAAACCCCATAAAAACTGCATCTTTAAGAATCTTGGAAGCACTTTCCACCATGCCCAGTTTGCAGTACCCATCGATTATGGTGTTGTATGTGAAATCATCTGGCTCGAGACCCTTGTTTACCATCATTTGTAAGTAACTCTCAGCTTCCATAACCTTTGAGTTCTTGCATAAACCCCATATGAGTGTGTTGAATGTGACAACATCGGGTGTTAAATTTTGTTTACTGGCAGAATCCAGCATTCTGGCAGCCTGGGTGAGCTGTTTGGATTTGCATAGACCTTGAATGAAGACATTGAATGTGAAGACATTTGGAGATATGCCTCTCTTTAGTACCTTGTTGAAAAGTCTCTCACTCTCTTGAACATTCCCTTTCTTGCAAAGTATGTGTATAAGCTTGTTAAAAGTGACAACATCAGGAAAGATGCTTCTCATGAGCATTTCATCGAACAGTTGGTATGCGTCGGATTGATTGTTTTCCTCATAGAATCCACCTACTACTGTACAATAGGTAACAGCGTTGAACTCGCACCCTGACGCAGGCATGTTCTTGAGAAGCCTAAGAGCAGCTAAAGACCTTCTTGTCCTACAAAACGCTTTGATTCTAATCGTAAAAGTATATACATCAGGAACAACTCCTTTATCTTTCATTCTCATATAAACTTTATGGGCTTGATCAAAATACCCGTACTCAACTAATATATTCATAATTGCGTTATACGAATGAACACCTGGTTCGCAGTTATAGAAATCCATTCTTTCAAATACATTTACAGCTTCTTGAACCTTTCCCTTCCTGCCATAACTTTTCATGGTGAATACATAAGCTCCTTCTAATAAATAACTATCAATATCCGACCTCATTTCTGTAAACACACGTTCCATTGCTTCAAACTCGCCATGATAACCGAGGTTTTCAATCATACACTTGTAAGTTATCAGATTATGCTTAAACCCATCTTCATTCTTCGCAGAATTGAACATTTCTAGCGCCCTTAGTGGATCCTTTTGGTATTTCACAACAGCAGCTACATGTTTCGTAAGTAAATTGCGCCTCATTACATATCATTGATCGTAGTGAAAAATGGAAATTGGATCGAGTAATCCACCTAAAGTGGGTGCAGAATCGTTATGTCAACTCTTGGTCCCCGAGTCAAAGTAAGTTCAAGAACTTGTGATAGAAAAAAAAGTGACGTACCCGCTCACATAAATTGTGAAATTACGGGGACACACCCATTCATAATTAGACAACAATTGGGATACATATAAAATTACCTTAAAAATACTCATTCTAAAGAATCCCGACATCATTTCCATCCCATCATACACATATAATGATAATGTTTTTATTTTTTAGACAAAATTACTTTAATTGTTGGGTAGAAGGGAGTGGACTCATGTTAGCCGAGTTGGCTCGACAAATATCATCCCCTAAGCTCATCATCCCCTAAACTCAGCATGTCGAGCTCAACAATCCAACTTAAAAGTCATTCGTCGAGTCTCTCTCCTCCTTCTTTTATCCCATGATGCTTCTCCCTCTCTTTTCCCCACTCTATTGTCATAGCAGTGGCCTCGACACTTCTCACATCAAATGAGGTGGATGTTGTTTGGCTGAGGTGGAGCTTGGTGAGCTCAAAATCACTACCTTTGGCCTTAGTGTGGTTGTCAAAACGATACCACATTTGGTCTTTATACATAAATATATCTTGCATAAATGATTATTAAGTACAAATAGGCTTTTGGTCAATCGTTATGGTGAAATGTTCTCTCTCTAAGCTTGAGGGAGTGGTGTCATATTTGTTACCATGTCACCTTAGTTTTTTGGCATCCACCTCACTACCATAATATTTTTGCCACACAATATGCATGTCATGCCATGCCATTTAGGTAGGTTGTTAACATTGTGCATGACTTGGAGAATAATAAACATATTTTTGCATGTGTGTTTGTACATCTTGCATAAAAAAATACATCATGTGAACTTTATCTCTCCTCTCAATATTTCTCTTCAGCAGTAGTGTATTGTTTGAGCTTAGCCAACTTGGCATACCACCCGGGGGGGGGGGGGGGATGTCAAGTTTGCCACCCCTTTGCCGAACACTATGTCGAGCCATTTCCACAAATCTGAGAGGTCAATGGTTCAACTCTCATTTAGGACATGTGTGGATTTAAAGAGTATTTTTATGAATATGTTAGAGAGTGTGTTATCATTCCAAAAATAAAATGATTATTAACTTTGAAAACTCTTGTGAGAATGGTCCTTATTGCTAACACTCTTAAAAATAATGTGTTAACTTTTTATGAAATGTCCAAATTACCCTTTTTATATATATTTTTCTTTTTGTAAATAGTTAATAATTAAAGAAAATGGGCCCCAACCTTCTCTCTCGATATGTATCTCTCTCCTTGTACCTCCATCCTTCCAAAACCACTATAAAAAAAAGTAAAAAAGGATAATTTGGATATTTCTTAAAAACTTAACTCGTTATTTTTAACAGTGTTAACCATAAAGACTATTTTTAGAAAGAGTTTTCAAACTTAACGACCATCTATACTTGAAAATCTTCATAAGTACCAAATATGGTATGTTTAGCCGAACACATTGACCATTTATGTATTTTTGTCTTTGATTAATGATTATGTTATTTTGGGTCGAAAAACAATACAATTATGTTTTGCATATGTAACCAACTAATCAAGCACGATTGAATTTGATCAATTTCGAAAATGGAGGATCAAATCCGTTAATATGACAAAGTAAGTGGACTTATTTGCATGAACCCTAAAATTGTGCTTAGGAGTTGTAGGCTTGTAGGCGTAGCAACTCCTCTTTTGGTTCAATTGCCTCACATCTCTCTCGATCAGCAGCAAGACCACCGGAGACTCTGTACGGTGTAGAGAGAATGGAGACGGCAGGACAGTGGTTGGAGAAGGCGTTACTAGATCTTTGCCGGAAGACAGACGGTTTGGAATTAGATGGAGATCTCATCTCAGGGCTAGTCTCCTACTGTGACCTTGCTCCTCCTGTTGACGCTAAGGAGTACCTCGATGTAATTGCTCATATTCCATATCACTACTTATTCTAGTTTATCTTCCTTACGAATTTAATTCATCATCATGCTATTTATTATAGACTTTCATCTTTTGGTTTAGTTAACTAGTAGGGTTTTGCATATCGTTTTGCTGAATCAATTGATGCAAAAGGCAACTTGATGGTTGAGTTTATTTGAGGCAATCCGTTGGATTTTATCGAGTTTATGCATTGCTATGAGTCAAAACGCTATATTGATCATCTGAAAATCAACTTATTGGTTCAATTGGGAATATTGTAGATGTTTACTGACAATCTAATAATATTGTTAGATCATCTTGTTGATTGTGAGAATACACAGTAGCATAGCTACAGCGCGGCATTTACCCTAAGTATGCTTAGAATTTTGATAGATATGTATTGGGCATTATCTTTCATTTGATTTCTAGAGTAACAAAAGTAGAATGTTAGATCAGTGTTTAGCTTTTGAAAATTTCAACATGAAATGCATCTTGCTCTCTATAAGCACAACTATGTGTTTTTACTATATTACCATATTCATTTTGCAAGTGCCATTTATATGAGGTTAAACAAAGATATGTTATGGCTCATCAGTTTACTAGATGTAGGGAGAAAGTGTTAGGAATCAAATGTAATTGCACAAAACTTTAACATATTTTGTTGTTTTCTTGTTGTCATATACATATACAGAATATAGTTGGTGAGGAAGCTGGTCGACCCGTGATTAATGAATACCTGAAACGAAGAGGTTATATAGAGACCACCACCCCGCCAGATCATCCAACCACCCAATTCCGTGAGTATGTCAAACCACCATCAAAAGAAACCGTTGTCATGTCTAAAAAACCAGTAAAACCTCCAAAAGAGACTCCACCCTCCACTTCCAAGCATGTCACAGCTCAGATCACACAACCACAAAACCAACAAACGGGAAGTCAAAGCAAGTCAAAGAAGAAAAAAACTGGGAAAGTCATATCTCTTGCTGAAGCTTCTAAGGGTTCGATCATATTTCAGCAGGGGAAACCATGCTCATGTCAAGCCCGTAGACACAGATTGGTTAGTAATTGTTTGTCTTGTGGGAAGATTGTGTGTGAACAGGAAGGAGAGGGACCTTGTAGTTTTTGTGGGGCCCTTGTTTTAAGAGAAGGAAGCACGTATGCTGGCTTAGAGGAAGAAACCGTTCCCTTGTCGGATGCTGAGGTGGCAGCTGAAGCTTATGCAAAAAGACTTGTTGATTATGACCGCAACGCTGCTGCTCGTACAACGGTTATAGATGATCAGAGTGACTACTATGAGATTGAAGGGAATAGTTGGTTGTCAATGGAGGTATCATGTTAGGTCACATTTGTCAGACCAGACATGACATAAGAGGTTGTACTGTGTTTGTTGTGCATTGAAGACAGTACAACCTATTATGTTATGTCATGTCATGTCATGTCAGGATTTCTGATATGTGGTTGTCTAAACTTTTAACTCTTGTTGGACACAGGAAAAGGAGCTTTTGAGGAAGAAAAAAGAGGAGATAGAGGAAGCTGAACGAGTTAATCGCAGCAAGGTTGTCATATCGTTTGACTTAGTTGGGCGTAAGGTAACTTCTTTACCGTTGTTATTGCTTTTTTGCATTGCTCTTCTTTCCTTGTTAAACTTTTGGAATTAACATGCTATCGAGGTCCCAGTCTGATACATGCCAAACGCAGTACCACTTGTTGTTCAATATTGTTAAAGTTTTGGAATTTCATTGTAGGTTCTTCTGAATGAAGACGAAGCGTCTGAACAGTTTCAGAAGAGTATCATGCTACAACCTGTTAATGAACGAGAAGTGAACCGCATCAAGCCCAATCCGACACTTGAAATACAACCGGTTTTTATCGACCCGGGCAACAGAAAGAAAAAGCCCGAGGTGAAGACCAAGAACAGTCATGTGAAAAAAGGTGTATCTACTGGCTTGTGCTTGGAAATTAGTGGGAGAGTGCAACATGATACTAGTGAGAACTAAAACACCATCACCATTTGGTGGATATTAGCAACTTTTAAGATGGAGGTAAAAATCTGATGTTTATAAACACTTATGCACTTTTAAGAAGAGAAGATTTTTGACAAACTAAGATGGGGGTGTTAGTGTTACATATAATATTCATCATATCTTTTAATCTAATTGGCGATTTTTTTAATGAAAAGCTAAATCTCTTTAATACCAACTCAACAAAAAAAAAAGTTATTAAATAACTATGTATCTGCTGAATTGTCTCATTTTGGACCATTATTTTTATTTTTATTTTTTAAATCCTTTTGAGAACTTTGCACATCTCTGTCTTTGAGCATAGCCTAAATCCCACTTGTTACTCAAATGTTTGATGACGGTAAAGTTACTAACAAATACTAAACTATTTTGTTAAGTATATTTTGCAAATGTTATATCAACAAAATACATCAGCCCTACGCAAGCGATACTTGATATGTTTTGCAAATAGTTAACCATTCTTAGTGGTTATTGCTTTTAAGGTCGGTGAGAGTGGTGTTAGGGTCCACGTAGGCATCATATCAGCTTTGCCACACTCCTTGTATTTTTTTGTCATTTTGCCATGAGTTGCCACACTTGTCATGTTATTTTAAAAAAAATAATAATTAATTTAAAAAACTAAACATTTCAAACATACTATATTTTTTTAAAAACCTAAAATTTCATTAACTTCAAAAAAAAGCACATTTACACTTAAAAGACAACACATTTGAAATTAAAATAATACACACTTAAACTTAAAAAACATAACACATGAGAAAAAAAAAACTTAAATTAAAAGACGACTAGTTTAAATTTGAGTAAATTTTAGGGAGTGTCTCACAATTTGTCAAAACTCAACAAGACGAAAATGTTTGTTAGCTTCAATATGGTAAGTGTGAAGACATTCGCTAGCAAAGTATTTTCATGTTCGTCATTTTCGGCTTCATGCATCACTCTACGAAACACATTGTTAAAATGAGTTTGCAAGTGCATTTGCATGTCTCTGTAACGACCAAAAAATCAAGGGTAAAAATTTCATTTTTATTATAGTCAAAACACATATATCTTTAAATCCAAGTATTCCAAAACAATGTTAATTAAAAACATTTATCAGAGTTGATCCCAAAATCACATAATGCGGAAAACACGGGTGTGTGCGCTGCGATCAAGCTGAGCCCTTCCTTTCCAAAACAATGATACCTGAAACAATAAACAAAACTGTAAGCACGAAGCTTAGTGAGTCCCCTAGAGCATACCCCACACAATCCACATAACCACATAATCCATATTAGCTATAACAGCTACATAAACCATATCAATCACATAAGTCATACCCATAAACATATAGGGATGCCATGGAAACTCTCCACGGTCTTACACCGGGTGTCACTGGAACCCCCACGTGGTCTTAGCCCACTGCCATGGGAACCCCCGCATGGTCTTAATCTATTGTCATGGGAACCCCCCGGGGTCTTCCGTACAAATGTCATACCAACATAACACATAATCAATTAACAGTACACATATACAAACCCTATAAGCCATACATATAACATATAAAGGTGTCATGGAAACCCTCCATGGTCTTACACCGGATGTCATGGGAACCCCCACATGGTCTTGGCTCACTGCCATGGGAACCCCCACATGGTCTTAGCCTGGAATGTCATGGGAACCCCCACATGGCCTTATATCCAATTGCCTCAGGAACCCCCCGGGGTCTTCCATGCAAGTATCACAAAGACAACTAACATACCAAATACCACACAATCAACTAGCATACCACATATAACTAATTGCCATGGGAACCCCCACATGATCTTCACATAAATACATAAGGTATCGATAGCACATTCACAATAATCATCACAACTAAATAAATGGGTCGGCCTTGGTGCCTTCGACCAATTGGTATGATGGGGAGACTCACCTCACACTGCTGAAGTCCAGCAGGTAAAACTCTAGCTACCGGTTGACAGATTCCCGAACTGTCGACATCAAAACAACACCCAATTAATAATTGGGTTCCAATACATAACCATAAGTCAATGCTTGGGGTAAAAAGACTATTTTACCCTTAACCTAAGTTAATCCAAAACCAAGGTCCAAACATACGCTCTGAAGGCCCAAAAACTAATCAATGAACCAAGGCCCAACATATGGCCCAATTTTCCAAATTGGGCCCAAACCTCTACATGGACTTATAGTGAGGCCCAACTATCTATTTTAGTCCAAACAATTGGCATTCCGATGGTCCAATATCTCATAATCATCAAGGCCCAATTATGGCCCACTTATGGCCTAATTTTCCAAATTGGGCCCAAACCTTTCCAATGGGCCTTATCCTAAAGCCCAATAATTTCCTTAGTCCATAAATATGTTCCCAATTGGCCCACAAAGGCCCACAGTAGCTTAGTCCAATAAATGGCCCAACAAGAACCTAAACCCAATTAGGGTTTTCCACATAAAATGACGATTAGGGTTAAATGTTTCTTACTTAACCCATTAAGGACTTAATCCATTAAGTCTATCAATCTACTAGGCCATTCATACGATTTAGTCGGACATAATTAAAAATTCCAATCTAACAGTCCAAATGCGGGTCCTGACAATTCCAAATCTCACATTTCCAAAATTAGGGTTTTCCAAACCCTAATTAGGGTTTCCAACCCAATAGCATTCCAATTAATCCATTTGTGAAGTTTTGGGTCAAATTAGGGTTTCACTAGGTCAATTAGGGTTAGCTAAGTCGGGCACCACCCACTACCACCTCGGGTAGTGGTGGTCAACGGCGGCTCGACGGCGGCCACCACCTCGTGGTGGTGGTTATGATTCTAGTCCAAATCATGTCTAAGCATCCAGTCATACACAAATGCACACCGTCACCAACACAACGGCTGGTGGCAGCAGAAGGCGACAGCCATCACCTCACGGTGGTGGTGGTGGTGGCAATTTCTTGATTATTCCGGCCAAAATCCGATTATACAACATAACATCCCCGAAATAAACAGACACACAATATACACACGCACACACACAACAACTCATGTGCACAACCACACAACACGGCGGTTGGTGGCGGCAGAAGGCGACAGCCACCATGGTTGGCTGTCATGGTGGTTGTTCTCGGTTTTCTAGCCAACGAGCACCCCCCCTCAACGTACAGCAACACCAAAAATACACACACATACTTGCAACCCCAAGCTAAGGTGTGCGCAGCAGCCTTCCTCGGAGTGATTGTTGACCGGAGCAGCAGAGAAGAACCGTGTGGGCGGCGGCGGACGTGGCTGTGGTGTAGCACCGAAAATCCAGGAAAAAGTGCCATTGTGAATGACCACAACAGCAGAAGAAGAAGAAGAAGAAGATGATGAAGAAGAAGAAGAATATGACGGTCCTTGCGGTTCACAGCTTTGTTGGCAGCGGAGCAGCAACGGCACAAGACAGCGACAACAGTGGCGCTAACGGCCGACAATAGTGGAATTTGACTCGGTGGTTCACGGCTCCGACAGCGACGGTGACGGCTGAGAGTGAGGGAATGAGGTTGGCGGCTGGAGAAGCTTATTAGGGTTAGGGTTTCTTGAGTCGCATGCTTCCAACATGTAACATCCCATTTTTCAAGTAGCTTCATATTCATCCCTCGGATTTGAATTATGTCACTTTTGGCCTTTGAGTTAGAAGGAAGTGGCAAGAAAGGACCAAGCATGAAAAGTTGACACTGGGCGAGTACGCCCAGCGTAGGCTGGGGTACGCCCAGCGTAGAAGTTTAAATGATCGCGGGTGTAGGAGGAGTACGCCCAGCGTACTCCCAGAGACCCTAAACCCTAATTTTGGGGCTAACAACTATATAAAGAACTTTATGGCTCAAACCCTAGCCTCCTTATCAGCCACCCCAACCTCAGAGAAACCCTAAAACGTCTCATCCTTTCATCTTTGGGTGATCTTGACCTTGAGAGGCTCATTTTGGTGGTGTGAGCTTGGAAAGGGAAAAGAAGAAGTTGGCAAGGAAGAACTTGGGAAGTTGGAGCTCATAGATCTGGAATAGCATCATCATATGGAACTCCTTAGAGGTATAAAGTTCATAACTTTACCTAAGAGTGCTTAGATCTAGTAAGGTTTAGTTTTGATGTAATTTTGGTCCAAAGGTGGAAGCTTTATAGCCCAAATCCGATTTCCAGGCCAAGGGTTGTCATCCTTGGTGCAAAATGAGTCCCTAAGGCAGAAAGTTGCTACCTTGATGGTCTTAATGGATTCATGCAAGAGTTAAGACCATCTTCATGGAAGTAATACATCATTTTTGAAGTTTGGGCTTGGTTGGGACAAGTAAAGTCACAAAGTCAGTGACTTTATGGATTAAGATGTTGGAAAGGACTTGGATCTGTGATTGTAGCTTCTGAATCTGAGTATTAAGCACTTAATGGGAAAATGACTTATCAGGGGAGTACGTTGAGCGTACAAGCAGGTACGCCCAGCGTACACACCATTTGGCTAGTACGCTTAGCGTACATAAGAGTATGCCCAGTGTACTCATCAGTTATGGGCCTTATAGATTTTAGGCCTCGGTTTGGGCCATACAAGGGAATTTTGGTCCTTGGGCCTTAGTGGGCCATCGAGAGTCAGATATTGTGGGCCAAGAAGATGTTTGGGCTTAGGGTAAGGCCTATAAGAGGGATTGGGCCCAATTTAGCAAATTGGGCCATTAGTGGGCCACTAGTGGGTTTGGGAAGACCATCTAGTGTTGGGCTTTTTATATTATGATTTTGAGCCTTAGATATGGACCAATTTGGACTAGGGGTAAAATGGTCATTTTACCCTAAGGAGGATTATTGTTTGAACTAAGTGATATTTTGGTATTGATAGCTTTGGGAGTCGAGAGATCAGCTGTTCGGGATTTTGGTGAGGCAGCGATTCAGGAGTTCGATTCTTCGGTTCAGATCGGCAGTGCGAGGTGAGTTATCCTCACTATATCAACACGGTCTAAGGCACCAAGGTCGGCCCTTTATGGATTGTATCCGGTTATGGCATGATATGTTATTTGGTTTGCATCCTGGTAGTTAGGATGATGTTATGTTTATGGTTAGTGACCTGGTTAGGTCGGTGTCCTGGTTATAGGATAGTATTTGTAACACCGTAATTTTTCAAACAGATTTTTCATTTTAAAATCGCATACTTTTCATAACATATTGTATAGAAATCTCGTTTATTCAAATTACAAAGCACAACTCCATTAATAATCCAGGATCCTCAAAACATAACTCTTTCTCTGGTGTGTACAATCAAGCCGGTGCCGTCCCGCGATCCTGAGAAAACCTGAAACACATAACACATAACACGGTAAGCACAAAGCTTAGTGAGTTCCCCAAAATACCACATACAGCACATAGCCACTCGAGGCTATAACTCGGTATGACCCTCCGGTCAATGTGTCTCAGCGGGACCCTCCAGTCCCGTAGCTCGTTGGACCCTCCAGTCCGGTCTAGCTCGTTGGACCCTCCGGTCCGGTCTACTTCGTTGGACCCTCCGGTTCGGTCTACTCGAGGACCCTCTGGCCTCGTAAGTCGTTAGACCCTCTGGTCCGGTCTATATTACACATAACATACATATATCATAATGCACATAAACTCAAACATAGACATAACACATAAGACCCTCCGGTCTGCACATAGTTACCACTCTAGGTAATATATAGTGAGAAGACTCACCTCGGCTAGCAGGTGAGCAAATAACCTCGCGCTCGGATCTCGAACTAGCCTCCTCCTAACACAAAGGATGAATATATCTTATTAATACTCTTTTCACGACTCAGATAATCGAAGGCGGTTCTTTCTCTTTCTAACTCTTTAAAGTGGTTAAAAGACCATTTTACCCTTCCAAGGTCTCTATCACATATGTTGACCAAAACCCCAAAGTCAACAGAAGTCAAACTCGAGTCAACAGTCCAAGTTTGACCCGACTCGTCGAGTGCACTCCTGCGACTCGTCGAGTCCACTTACTTTCCTCAGAAATCTCGTGACAGTCCAGCTCAGCTCGTCGAGTTGACCCCCAACTCGTCGAGCTATCGCATGCTCAAGCTCATCGGGACAAACCCTCACTGACTCGTCGAGTCAACTCATGGACTCGGCGAGTCCCCTCGGTCTGATTCCTCATTCAGACGTCCAAAGTCAGATCTCTCATTCCAAACCCTAGATCTAGCCCTTTAATACACCAAAGACACATAAAGTCTCGACCTTTACGTTCATACATGGCATAAATGCCTCAAAATGCCAAAACAAGCCCTTCTTAAGGTGTTAAGCACAACAACCCTCATTTGGATGAATAAAGTTGGGACCTTTGGACTCTAGGGACCTCACAAGGTCCATATCTGAGGACTAGGCTTCTAGCTAATCCATTTTACTCAAAGTCCCAAACCAAAGGTGGTAAAAGCCCTAGAACTCCAAACACATGAGATCTAACCAAAATAATGAGAAAGGTGCAGACTATTACCTTCCTCATAAGCTCTGGACGATCTATCACTGGATCCAACTTTCCCCCTCTTGATCCTTGCTTGATCTCCTTCTCTTCTTCTCAAATGATGCACTAAAAATCCCAAGATAGCTTCTCTCTCACTTTCTAGCTCAAATGACCTTTAGGGTTTTCTTCCAGGGAAAGGGTGGCCGCAAGTGAGGCTATAAGTGCCTTTAAATAGGTCCCAAACCCCGGAAATTAGGGTTTCTCTAATCAGCGCCTACTCGGCGAGTCCCTCTCCTCGGACTCGTCGAGTCCACTCATTAAATCCACGGGAGAAACCCGACTCGACTCGACGAGTTGGTCCCTCAACTCGTCGAGTCCCTCCTTAAATCTCAAGATTAACATACACAATAATGTCCCTGAAAATCCGGATGTTACAGTATTATGTGATATGCTAGTATGATCTGTTAGATCGGTATCCTGGTAGATAGGATGTTATATGCTGTTATGATCTGTTAGATCGGTATCCTGGTAGATAGGATGTTATATGTTGTTATGATCTGTTAGATCGGTATCCTGATAGATAAGATGATATATGTGATGGGTTATGAGCACTACATCAATCCTATGGTGTACATGCAAACCTTAAAGCTTTTGGATCTAGTTTGTCTAAAGAACATGCAATAATCATCCAAAGAACATAAACCCTAATTCTAGCATACAATAATCGATATTATTATAATAAAAGGGTATAGATGTTACCTTGATTGTTATGTAGCAATAACAATCTCAATTCCTCTTGATCTTGACCTTTGAAAGCTTAGTGCCTCAAATGTTGCACCTCTAATGGAGTCACAAACACCATGAGCAACAAGATGAACAAGGAGAAGTAGGAGAAGGCACAAAAACGTCCAAGAACCCTCAGGGATCACCTTAGCCACGTTTTTGGGGCCTTAGGGGTTCCTTATATAGTTAGGCTATTAGGGTTATCAAACAAGGAAACCCTAATTTGACTGCTTAAGCTCCAAGCAGCCCATGGACTCCCTCCTTAGAAGCCTTGGACGAATTCTAATGGGGTTCCCCATAGATTTCGTCCACTCCAACTTCTATGGAGTCCATTAGCCCATTTATGCAATTATCTTATAATTACAGTATTAGTCCCCCAAGTTTAATTAATCTATTTTAGCCACAGAATTAATTCTTGACTGATATTAATTAAACAATATAATTTCTCTTTTAATATATTATTCATATAATATATTAATAAATCATAATTAATCCTTTTTTCTCCTTAATTCATCATATCAGTTGCTATGGTGAAGGCAACCCAAAAGGACCATGCTCACAATCAGGTCAAGTACATACCAAAATAGTTATGAGCTTAGACACCTAATCCAACAATATGTTGTTATGAACCGTTAGATCAGTATCCTGGTAGACAGGATGTTATATGTCGCTATGATCCGTTAGATCAATATCCTGGTAGATAGGATGTTGTTATACTATTATGATCTGTTAGATCGGTTTGTCTGTCTATAGACTGTTATCTGTTATACGTGCACATGTTTGTTTGGCGGTTGAGGCTTATCTACTTTGTGAGAAAGCCAATAGACCTGGGCATTCCAACCTGTTGATTGTGGGTCGTGAGTATTCCATCCCGAGGATGATTGGACTCATAGTATGTGGGCATTCCAACCTGTTGGTTGTGGGCCTGGGGTATTCCATCCATAGGATGATTGGACCCATAGTATGTTGGCATTCCAACCGGTTGGTTGAGGGCCTGGGGTATTCCAACCCTATGGTTGACTGGACCCATAGTATGTTGTTTATGATTATATGTGTATTGTTGTGAGTATGGGTATTTTGGGGTAACTCACTAAGCCTTCAAGCTTACAGTTTCAGTTTATTGTTTCAGGTTCAGCAGATGGCCGCGGGAAGGCGAAGGCGTGACCGTACACTTCCTCAATTTATGATTATGATTTCTGGGAACTCTGATGTTTAAACTATTTTGAAAACAAATTGTAATAACTGAATGGTTTTATATGATTTAAAAAGTTTTAAATTGGCTCGAATTTTATGGATGTTAAACAACAGGTAGGGAGGGTATCGGGTTTATTATGCCCGCTCATTCTTAAAGCTTGCCTCATAGTTACACATTCTACCCCTTCCTCTCAATTCTTTTCGATTCAGCTCCATAGGTTACCATATAGCCCCTCCATGACAAATTCTTTTCAACTTAGGTACATAATTTACCATTCGGCCCTTAACATTCCAAAATCCTTTCAGTTTAAGTCCAATAATTTAAAAAACACCCCTTGACTTCTGAAAATCTTTACAAAATAATTCCCGGAGTTACGCTATAACCCCCGAAAATCCAAATCATATCATTTGGCTCCCCGAATCCAACACCCCGCTAAATATTATTAATTTGGCTATAAAATAAAATTACATCTCGAGATTTAGAGTTTATTATTTATTTAATTGATTTTATTTAATTTCAAACGGAGTGTTACAGTCTCCATTCTTTACTTCGAGGAACAGGGGCTTAACTGTTGTATGTTTCGGCGAATCTCCCCCAAAAATTACGCGCATTGTCGTTAATGTGGATTGGATCTTCTGTTACATCAATCCATGCACGAGTGAGTAAAATCTCTTCTTCAGGAAACCAAACACGGGCCATTTTTAGCAAGGTTGTAGAACTCATTACTCGGTACCTGTTCGGCCGACTACCGAGTAGCGAGTACTCGGATTTGGTAATTCATGTAGAAATATTTGTAGGGAAATTATATATGTCGAAATCATAAGTTAAAATCATAAGTTGATTGAAATATATAACAAAATTAGATATATGTGATTACACAAAAACTGAAAAACACATAATGGTCTCACTTCGTGAGTAATTACTGAAAATTTAAGATATATATGTATAATCACATGTGTGTGTGTGTTAAATAATAAATCATTAAGTATATTATACATATTAATCACCGAGTTGATCAAGTCTTACAACATTGCCCGGTTCAGTAAGGAGTCGATCGGGGAGTACTCGAGATTCTGTAACTCGCCTCGGTAAGGGGCCGAGTAACGAGTACTCGTAAGAGTAATCGGCCAACTCGGCGAGTTTTACAACACTGATTTTTAGTGATGACGTTTAGAAGATGGAAAATAAGAAAGTTAAGAGAATTGAATTAAGAAGATTTGAATGAGGTGAAGAATGAATGAGGTGAAGAATGAATAAGGATGATGATATTTACAGTTGAAGATTGAGAGTTTAAAATTTGAAATTTTGAAAAAAAAGCGGTTATATTTTTGAAAAGAATGTATTAAAAAAAAGGAATGTGAGTTAATGGGTAAAAAAACCGTTTCTCTCTCATCGGCAAGTTTCCATCGAGTTGTCGAGCCGAGCTCGGCATGCAGAGCCTCGGCCCGGTGTTCGCCGAGAATGCCGTATAAGATGTCGAGTGGCCTAATTAATATACTTTTTGAATGAATAATGATTTACTATTTTTAACATTATTCCTTTGAAAAACTGTGAAAGTAGTTTAATTATTGGGATATCGACATTTGACCATACAAGCGAATCAAGTCTCACATAATAACCACCATTTTTGAAAAAACTACTTTTGACCACGAGTTTGTTTTTCGAAATCAGATTTTTGACATAAAATGATAAAAATGTTTGGAAATTAGATTTTACGAAGTTGACTACCATCCCAAGATGTATTAATTATTTATGGTTTAACCACAAAAAACATTGGGTTATTAATTGGTGGTTTGAGATTGCAAAGCCTTGTATTAATCGGGAAATGCCTTGTGGTGGTGATAACGGACAAGAAAGAGACACATCATGTAAATTGGTTATCAAGTCTTTTATACGGGGTTGATGGTGGTTTGGACACGGGGAGTTCGACCAACATGAAGGTGGGGGTTTAGGGCTTGGTTATCAAACTATCAAAATCTCCATCTAGTTGATCTTTCTTTAGATTTGTTGGTTCACGCAACAACATCAGGTTTTGGTTGAATGATCTGGGGACTCCATTAGCTTGATCATTCCCTATGCTATTTGTTTTGGAAACTAAACCTTCTAACCTTAATAACGAGACGTTGCAACGTTCAAAGAGCTTTGTCTCGCATGCATAGTCGGTCGATTGATCAATGTAAACCTGGGTGATTGAGTTTTGTTTTTCATCTATAACCTGGTCGACATTATGACTTGACGGTCAATCATGTATGTTAGTCCTTTCAATATACAATTTGCTGGTAGGCTTGTTTTTTGTGCATAGGTCATTTCTTGGTTTCAATCAAATCACATTTGTTTTTCTTTTATTGTAAACACCCCGTAGGAACAATAAGATGTTATTTGGCACGATCTGAATTTTTAAAATGTTTGAACTTTAAAGAGGCTCTGATTCTTTGAATAATATTTAAGAGGTCAGAGAGGACAGTGAAAAGTAAAATGGAGACGGTCGTGTGAAATGGAAAGAAAACATGAAAAAACATTTGTTGAAAAATTAGGATACTTGAACACATTCCTCTTTTCTTGTTTATTTATTTATTTATTCACATACAATTATTTCTTTTAAAAATTAAGAGATTCATGAACAATTAAAAGGCAAAAAATTAAAAGGCTATCAAATACTTTAAATCTAAAAAATTAAGAGTTTGCCTTTTATTTGATTTTTCAAAAAACCGAAACCGAAGCATAAACCGACAGTTTGGGTTTTGATTTTTCAAAAACAGAAAATTTTGGTTTGGTTTGGTTCGGTTTTTGGGTTTGGTAAAACCGAAAGAAACCGAACCGCACTGATTATATATATATATATATATATATATATATATATATATATATATATATATATATGTATATATACATATAGGTTTAGGTTATTCTATTCTAACTAATTATTGTGCGGATATCGTATGCTATGAATGATAAAGAAAATATGTTGTTTGATAATATAAATACGTTCAATCTTACATAACTATTGTCATTAACACACATTCTCACTAATTAAATCGTCTATAAGGTTATTATACACTTATTATTATTTTTGTATTCGCATTGCTAAACAACTTATTCTCTTAGTAATTCTCATAGCATACGATATCCGTACAATAATTATTTAGAATACTTAAACCTAGCTCTCTCTCTCTCTCTATATATATATATATATATATATATATATATATATATATATATATATATATATATATATATATATATATATATATATATATATATTGCAAATTAAATATCACAAAATGCTTGTAGTTCACCTCGTTCCATGCATTAACATTAGTCTAAGAGAGGTCCCGTATTCGAGTTATGCTTCCGTCGTTTTTTTATTATTTTGTAAGTACATCTATATTTTATGTATTTATGATTTATAAACAAATTGGAAACATAGTCCACGGTTATGACCCTTAAAGCTTCATCTACCCCACCTAGGCTCCAATCTCGCCTATGACAAAAATTGCTGTATTTTTTTCAGCAACTTATACCGCATTTCTTGTAAATAATTTCTTTAAATTTTGAATTTATCCCATATAAGTGAGATTGAACTTACGTCCTCTTTAACTTTAAGGTAGTGTTTGTTTTTTCTCTGCAGATCTATGTGCCCTCTTCTGTCTGCGCCACGCAGACATTAGTCTTCACAGACTGTTTGTTTTTTTGAAGACTGCAGACCTAAAAATGTTTGTGCTCTCTTCTTGGCGCAGATGTGGACCAGAGTCTTCTAACATCTTCAGACATCTTTTAGGCTAAAAAAACGTATATATCTTTATTTTTTTTTAAGTTTTTTTTAATTTATATTTTTTCCAACTTTATTAATGATAAACAATTTGAAAAAAAAAAATTACAAAACTTAAAAAAAAAAAACTTTCGACGATACAAACATGATATTTTTGACAAATTTATAAATAAAGATTTATTACAATAATAGTCGTTGAAGTTGTTTATATAAATATGAAAAAAAAATCATAATATATTCTTATATTTTTTGCCAAATTTTGTAAAACATTATTTAATACAGTATCGTCAATTTCTCGAGAAAATATTTATGGTACGTTTTTAATGAATTTAATTGAAAAAATCAAAGTTTATTTCCATCAATTTATGTATCAAATTCTTTGATCACTAATTATAATGTTTAGTTATAACTTTGCAATCAAAGTTGTTGGTTTTTTATCAAATATATACGTTAATTCATACCATTTTTATTTTTATTTTTTATACAATAATACATAAATCTACATTCGTTAATTATTTATAACAAAGTCATAAAAATATTAAAAAATCACATTAAAGTTTAAAAAAATCAGTTTATTTAGATTTCAGTTTATTTTAGTAGCCTGCAGATGTTAAAAAAACAAACAGTCTTCTTTTTTCAGACTACAGACGTTTGGTCCACCTCTTCTACTGCAGAGGTCTACAGATGTGGTCCGCAGACTGCAGACATTTTGCTTCAGAAAAAACAAACATCACCTAATATGAGGCAACACCAAGTTAACAATTTTCTCAAAGTTAGGGTTGGAATGAGTTTGGGTTTAAACCCAAAACCGATCTAGTAAAACTGAGAAACCGAACCCATTCGTTTTGGGTTGGGTTCTAGTTTTTTGAAAACCGACAATTCGGTTTTGGATTCGGTTTTACCTCAAAACCGATCCAATCCGGCCCATGCTCACCCCTAGTATTTTCCAACACTATTAACAATAAGTTATTATTTCCAAACTAAATCGTTATTTTGAAATATTACATGCATTTTCGAATACCAATCAAACACAATACTTTTGAATATATTGACATTTTCGAAAAATATTCTTTGTTTTTCCAAACTGCTTTACATATGAAGTAGCTTGAAAATATAGAAACTTTTAATTTTCAAAAATTATGGTCAAATGTTAATATCATTTAAAAGAATGTTTAGTATGTTATTTACATTTACTTTAACTACGTCTAGTCATTGACAACTTGTTCTTGAGTTTTTTTAGAAGTGAAATGGAAAAGAAATGAAAGGATTTAAATGGAGAAGGGTCTTTTTATCCTTGCACCTTGAATTGAAGCCAAAA